CTTCAACACGGAGCCTTGGCTCACACTGAACAGCAAGCTATAAAGGGCCCCAAAAATGACTAGTGTAAAACCATTCAAACAGGAAAACCAACGGTCTAATCTATATAAAAAAACGAGAAACAAGAACACTTATAAACCACATCAACAAACGACAGCCACTGAACATCAGGTGCCTGACTGTAACATCACAACATAGAGAGACCCACTATAAAATATCAATCTACATTTTTGTTTCCGAGACACAAGTTAAAGATCATGACCGGAACATGTTTTATATCTTATTTTAAGCTTGGAATAAGTATCTTCCGGATTATATGGAATATTGATGTATCAATTTACGTAAAAAAATTCCTACACAAACTTAAAAACGCGCAAAGCAAAGGAAGGGAGCTATAATTGCCGTTCTTTGTCTCAAAGACACAACTTTTTACAAAAGGTTTACTTTGTAAAGTCATGCATTCAACAAGATACAACTAAGAAGTAAAAAAACATATCGACATTCCTTTCCTTATTTTAATTTTAATTTACATTTAATCAGAATCTAAATCTCGTGGTTGAATGTCAATTTACCAAAAAAAGGTGGGGCATAAAAAATAGTCTTAAATTTAGAACTCTGTAAAACTATTCAATACCAATCAATCAATGGCGGCATTTAATACTTTTGTTTTATCTTATTAACATTTTATAAACTGTCCATAAAAAACCATCTAGTATATATCGTTTTGATGATATCATCCTCGATGTTATTATTTTTGGAATATGTGCGATTTTTGAAAAAGTCAGACTTTCCATGGCCTTAAACAAGGACGGATTTGTGATTTTTTTTAAATCTCCTCTTTCGTGATAATTGTGGGGTATTGTGAGATTTCAAGTTTTGCTGTGAATTCAGAGTTCTTTTATGAGACATTCCAAATATTGATTTGTTTGTATATAAAACAATATTGTTAGAGGCTTTGAAAGCTGGAACAACTACATATTAGTCGTTTAGAGATGATAAAGCATCCACAACCTAGGGTTTCTTTAAAGGTTTGAAGCCTATGTGCTCATTGTACGTCGTAGGTTTTGAATGCGCTTCTGAAAATAGAATAGGAAATTCCTTAAATCACTATTATTCCATACTCATTATAACCCAGGACAACATTTTAAGTCAGTAAAGAAAGATAATGCACTGACAGCAAAATGTCAATACCAAAAGAAAGTAAACCAAACCTGTAGTTCAATCATCATCGTTGGTTTGCAGAGATTTGTTTTATCAAGCGTCAGCAGGTATGCTGTAACGCAAAATTTAAGAGCCAAGGATGTATAAGTATTTGAATATGTGAGAACCTATATGACAAAAAGGGACATAAAAAAGAATAGACAAATCCATCTAAGGTTAACTTTGTCAAAGGAAATTACAACCTTAGTTTCTTTTAAATGACTTCTAAATTATCAACTGAATATTTAAGTAAGGTATGTTATAAAGCATGTAAGTACCGAAGCACTGAATTTTGACCTGATGACACCTTTGGGGACTAGTATTTACCTAGTGCTAGAAAATGGAATATACTATATAAATCTGATGAAAACTGAAACACTATTTTTGCATTTACCTTTATCGTGATCACTCAAACCCAAAACTTTGACAGCCATGAACGTGCATATATGTATAAGTTCTTGAATATGTGAGGAGCTAAATTACCAAAAGGGACCTAAAAAGAATAGCCAAATCCATCTTAAATCAGCTTTCTCTAGGAAATTGAAACCTTAGTTTTTTAATAATTTCTTGTTTTATCAACGAAGAATTTAAGAAAGCTATATTATAAATTAGGTTGATACCGGTGGATTAACGTTGACATTTTGTTGTTAACATCGTACACGGTGTATATTCAGAACGCGTGCTTTCCGATTCGTGTAACGCTTGTTTTCAGATTTTTGTTGACGAAGAAGCAAGAGACACAAGATGAGGATGGATGATGCTTCAATTGGGTGGTATGTGGTGTTCTCTCTTGTATCTCTTGGAACACTGGAGCTACTTTTACATGATAAAATGTTATGCATGTCATTATAAAAGTGTTTAATCAGGTCGTGAACGGTACCACAAACGCAACACTGTAAACCATTGAACACAAGAATGTGTTGATTTTGTATTAAACTGTTTAAAACATTTTCAATTAAGCCAGTTTTCAAATCATGTATTTTCAACAACAAAAATAATATATCTCCCTCTTGCAAAGCATTGATCCTTGCCCGACTTTGGCTATACCGTTTTGTCATTTTTTTTGATTTATCAGCTTTTCATTTGTTTTTAATACGCTTTTGATTTTCATTATTACAGTACCATATCTAAAAATTCATTTGCTCTAGCCATAAATGCTCATTAAAAAAATCACAGGAAACGCTGTCTTTCAGAAATTGTTTAAGAGTCGTTTTGGGAAACGATTTATTCCGGATTTTCAGGAAACGACTTCTTTCAAATAACATGCAAGACTATAAAATATGTTTTTGTTTTTGAGGTTTATTAATTCACAACCTACGACACAGCAGAGGTAACAAGTCGAATTGACAACTTGCTAGTTCTTCAACAAGTAAAATCTACCTCTTGGTATGCCAGTGCATATCATAAGTTAAATAATACTGATTTATTTCGGCACCAATCTGTGTGTCAGAAATTCTTCTATAATTCGCCAATAAGAATCTATTTTTCAGTTCATTTTTGTTTTATTTGGTTAATTTGAGAAAAGAGATTTGTTATGACCCCGCCCTCACCGGAGTGCGCATTATGTGTTACCCTTGTCCATGCGTCCGTCCGTCCGTACGTACGTCCGAAAACTGGTTTCCGTTCTTTAACTCTAGTTTGCCTCAAAAAAATGTTATGAATCTTATACACAATACTTATTACGACAAAATACAGATTAAGTTCTAATTTGGGTGTCGTCACTTTTACCGTTCTCGAGTTAAGTCCCTTTATAACTTTATATGCAAGCAGGGGCATCATCTGTGTTCCATGGACACATTCTCCATTTATTTTATAAAGAAACACGATTCTATACTGAGAACCAGCTCAGTGAAAATGATAATAAAAAATAAAACATGATACAGTTATTTCAAATATGAACTTAAGATATGCCTACTACTACATTTTACTAAATGGTAAGGTACCTGATTATATGTGGTACCTAAATGACTATATATATATATTATGAATGAAGCCTATTTTACTAGTTGTTGAAATGACTATAGAATATACAGCGGTACTCGAAAACTTATACGTTTATGTGTACAGCTTACCATTACAAATATCTTGAATGATAAGAAATTCAGATAGCAAGTCATGAAGGTGAAATTATGAAACAAAAGACAAGTTAAACTCGGGCAAGAAAAACAAACAACAGCAAGAGCAATTTCACACTGAAAACTAAGAAAACGAGCAAACTTACGGTGCGTAAAACCAGAGTAAAAATCATGTGTTCCGGCCGACATTTTGGCAAGTTGTTGCAATGTCAGTTCCCCCTTTTCCCAGAAATATCAATAGGTAAATTGTCTGTCGGTCAACGGTTATATATGCCTCATTTATTTTTGCCATATCTTTTGGGGTCCGTTTTTATGGGTATAGACATTAGACTTGGACAAAATATGATTAATAGAAATGACACAATGTGTACTATATAAGACTGATTTCTTTAAGTTCTTATAAAATGGTTGCATTTTTGGAATTTTGATATGTTTAACAGAAATTGACTAAGACAAAATTGACTGTTATTTATTTATCTGGGAATGTTACCTTTATATTTTCTGTAAAACATGGAAATTAATGCGTCTTTCATTTAGAATTAAGAAAATATGTGCATGTACCTTAAAAGGAAAAGAAGAAATCCAATAATCCGGAATGGTTAAAAACTAAAGACAACTAAAATAAACCAGCCTGAGGGATGGGACGAGGAGGGCTGGTTGCGTGTGTGTACATTGAAAACAAACGATCACACATATATCTGAAGACCTATAATGCTGTGAAAATAGGAACACTGTTAAATAAATATTTCTGTTTTGTATGGCCATTATGAATAAAATGGTTTTTAGATAGCAAAGATATGTAACTTGTCACATTACGTAAGGGAACAACTATAAAACTTTGAAGAGAGGGAGTGGTTCTGAAATTCGTACCAGGCAAGCATCAAATTATTTATTACTTTGAGAATTGATTATTAAATTTAATGGCAGAAACTAAATCAGAATAATTTTTGTCAGTCCTTCTCCGAGACAGAAATCAGAATATATGTAAGGAAAAAAACCATAACCCCTCTCCCTCCCGCCGATTTAAATGATCGTTCCCTAAGAAAAGGGTTTTCTACAATGAAACATGTAAGAGCGTACTATATTTTACTGAACCTGCACCACTTAAACCTTAAAGAAAGCGTTTCCTGAAAGTCAAAGTAAGCGTTACGCATCGATTTTTAGAAAAACGATAAGATCATTTGTGGTCTAATATTTTGTATAAAAATGATACATCAAACCTTTGTAAAAAAGAAATTGTGTTGAGAAAGATTGATAATTGTTGATGAGATTGTTAAAATTGGTATATTTTTAGCTGCAATTCTGTTTTATAGGACAACGCAGTTCTGATGTAAACGAAATCACTTTCACTTATCATTCGAAGAAACAATGAATTATGGAACTGGATACCTGGTCATTTTTTCGTTTGTTCTCTCAACTTCAATTTCATTTAAGAAAATTAATAATTCATTATTTGCTTTAAGATTGTAGCACCCTACCTTCAACCCTCTCTGTTATTTTATTTTGCAATATCGGAAAATACGCTTTTCCTGAGTCGGAAAGCAAGCGTTACCGGCAATTGAATCGGAAAGCAAATGTTCTGAATATACATGTCGTAGTTCCTTGTGCTATTGTCGAAATCATACCGCATTTCCTTATTTCTAAATAAAAGTGATGAAACTCTGTCATTATAAAAAATTTTGTCGCATTGTTTGTTCGTACTTGAGATAAATGTTAATAGACAGTACCTTCAAAACCTTCTAGCAATGAATCAAAATTTTCTTCCGTTATATTTACTGTGATATCAGGTGTCTCCGTATTGACACTTTTGTCTGCATCATCCGTCTCAAATTTAGATTTGCTCACTGTAAAATAATAAATAAAATTAAAACGATTTTAAAAATGAAGATATTGAGGTAAATAACAAAATAAAACTATATTCCAAAGGAAATACGTTTATTTAAATCCATTATAATATATACAAAGTCTAGATTAATCTAGTAATGTATTTGCATATACTGTCGGTTATTTCAATTAACAAAAATAACAAAAACTAATTATCTATATCATGTTTATATAGGATAAACAAAATAGCAACAATCAATGTTAAATATATCTATGCATAGATCAGCTTAAATTAAACTGATGCAGTTTCTTAATTAAAATTATGTAAATGCCTGAGAATGTAACTCTGCAACGATACTGATAAAAGACAATACTATACATACAAGATAATCAAATATATAATATGTTAATGTAGTTTAACATCTGTAATAATCAAGTAAGCATTTTCATGTGTTATTTCAATATGATCAAAACAATCGCATGAAAGTTCTCATGGATGAACAGAACAATCACTGAATGATACTTAGCGGGAGGATCGGAAAAGAGTTGGAACATTTTGGAAAAGAAACTTAATATTCTTTAACCAGATGGCAGTGGAGAAAAAAATAACTTGCGTTGTTAACTTCAACATCATTTGGTCTCTGGTTGAGAGTTGTCTTATCGGCAATCATACAACATCTTTTTATTTTCAAATTTAAAAATAAAAGATGCTGTGGATACTAAAGGGACGCTCAAAATCCATGAGACGAAGAGAAACCAACAACACTATAAAACGCGACGAAAGACAAACAATAGTCAACAACAACTACATGTATTAAAGATATATTACAAGATGTATTTAATAGGGATTCTACGATAACTGTATTCAAAAGTACACAAAACCAGAACAAAATGTCTGAAATGCTAAATGATAACATAAAAGCAAACGTCACTTATTGGTATGCTCAAACTTGCGTCTCCTTTCGTGATTTCATTGATAGGTGGTTACTGCTTACAAGAAAACTTTTGCATCAAGGGTTCCAAATGCTAAAGTTGATATCATCCTTTCAAGTTTTACGAACGCCAGCCTGATTATCTAACCGTTAAGGAATAACTGTGACATGAAGGATGTGTTCATCTTGTCTTGAAAACGATCCCTTTCTCTTTTCCTCGTATATGAAATTACCGAATCTGACTTATCAGGGTAATTTTGAAGCTGAACAAAAGAGAAGACAACCGCACCAAATTATGAAAGAAGCCAAACGTAATAAACAAAATTTAAAGTTAGTTGTCTACAAACTTTACATGAGAGATGATATAGAAAGAAAATCAGTTACATAAACAAATAATGAAGTATTCATCCATAGCAATAGCAACGATTCTACAAAAACAAAAGCACATCAAACCCGACAAAAATCTAACATGGAGTTCACCACGACCAAGTAAAAGAACAATGATAGATTCGGATGGTTCTCGAAATACACAGAATATTTAGGGACACGGCATGAGAGTATAAAATGTCAATAACAGGGTGAATGATATCTGTTTAAATGATATATTTTTTAATTTTGATTTTTAAATGTATGTGACCTATAAACTAAATTACTATGTCCGGATTATATGATATTATAATACACCATGATATTTGCATATTTATAGAAACCAAGTTTACGGATTTAGATAATTAGCTTTACCAGAACACAATGATTACCATACAAACAAATCGAAAGAAATTTTACAATGTTCCGAGGGGTATTTCAATAGTGTATAACCCAATATTAAAAAAATATTTGAAATTTCACGAATTTATCTAGTAGCTTTATATTTCTAAAATTTGTGTTTGGATTAGAATTTGATATTCTATTATTCCACCAGAAATACAAAATATTCTTCCATTGAAACATTTGATGAAATTGAAAAATGAATTTTTGGAGTTTACAGACAAAAATAATCATAATTCTACAATCGTTGGAGATTTAAATACTAATACCAGTACTTTACCTGATTATATAGTACCAGAGGAAAACCTTGTTGAAATATGCAACTTAAATGATGATCAAGGTCTAAATGAGTATCTATAGGATTTTGAAAATCTATATAGACGAAACATACCACAGTCAAGGGTAACTAAATGTTCATGCAAACCAAATAACTATGAAAATAAATTACTTAGCTTTTGTAAAATGTTAAACCTGTATATAGCAAACTCTAGAATAGAAGATCGTGGGATAGGCGTTAAAATTTGTAAAGATGTATGTGTGGTCGATTACCTGATTATTTCTTCAAAGTTATTCTCTGTTGTAAATGAATTTAAATAGAGGATCTTGAACCCCTTTTCTCAGATTGTCACTGTCTTATGCAGGGAGATGCACGTTTGGGCTAATTGATGTAACACTTGGGCTAAACATATGCTACGTTTGGGCCAAAGGCAAATTGACATTTGGGCTAATCTTCCAATGTAAAGGTAAATTTCATGTAGAGTACCTATATTTTAATTATCTACTAATACTCTATATGTAATCAATGCCTTTCTTTTTATAACATTTTCTTGTTTTATGTCCCCATTCCGTTTTCCAGACAGTGTTTGCTCCCTGCTCACCACAGGGTTGCGAAAGTCGAATTTGAAGTGAGACAAGTCGTTCTAGCGCTAAATACAGTTTAAACTGTATACAACGTTAAGTTATAAAACAGCTATGTTAAGATATAACAAAGTACATCCAGTAGATTTTTCTCAATGATTGGTATTGGTTTTTTAAATTCAAACAGCCTTTAACATTGTAATATTGTGATACTGTCTGATATTCACTGTAAACTCATTTTAATAAAATGATGTAAAACTTCAACATGTTAAAAGTTCTTTTCGTTTCAAACTAGCATAATTTCCCAATAAAGGGATTTTTATAGAGGTTGTATTTTTATTTTATTATTTGTATTCACCATCTTCTATATTCCATATTAAATATTGAAATTGATAAATTCTACCTGTACAGGTTAAAAAAAATTACTAGCTAAAATGTAAACTTGACTCTAAGATGTTTAGCCCATATGATACCACGCTTATGATTTAGTCCAACTGTCTTGCGCCCCTTATGCACTGTACAGTGGAAGCTATGCACAAAGAAATTGGAACCTCTATAAGAAATAAGTAAGAAAAGTATTAACACTGGAATAGTGAAAAAGAGTTCGACTTCTTGAAAACATTTGTTTGGATGAAAATTACGTTTTTTAAGATGTTTGATATAAATTAGATAATCTTACTGCTTGCGAAGATATACAAGGAGACATAAATGATGTAGTAGCTCAAATTACAAGTAATTTGTAAGAACTGCCAACCAATAATTTGGTGACAAACGGCCATCCGGGCGACAAACCTCAAAACCCATGTAAGCATAAAAGAACGCAATATAACAAAGCCCGCAGACTATACAGATAGAGTATAACTACCGAAAATAAGCAAAAAAAAAATGCTAGTAAAGAATACAAAAGATCAATATAAAAAAGGCATATTCAAACTATCAGCAAGACTTCGCTAATCATCTTCAGAATTTACCAAACAGAGATACAAAGGGATTTTGGTAGATTCTCAAAGAGGTTGTAAAAGCAAAGAAACAGGTACTCCCAATATTTCAATGGAAGTGCTATACGAACATTTAAAGAGAAATAAACGAAGTTGACAGTTTTGAACATACAGAAGAGATTTTTGATTCTGTTGATATCACAGATAATATACAACTCTTATCAAATAGTCCTTTAACAGAAAAGTAGACAAAAGATGTTGATAAAAGCTTAAAAATTGGTAAGGCAACAGGTTATGACAAAATTTTAAATGAATATATAAAGAAATGGTTGAATGTTATGTTGCATCTTGTACGATTGGTACTATGAAAGTTATATACAAAAATAGAGCATCAGAATTGGACAGTCTCACAGGGGAATAAATTTAAACTCGTGTTTTAGTAAAGCATTTACTACCATTATTTATAAAAGACTATATGATTTTGCTAATCAGTTATATTTTAGTGACAAAGCGCAGGCCGATTTTTGTCGAGGTCACTCAACAGTTGATAATGAGGTTGTTTTATTTGCATTAATATATTCATACATTTTTCTCTTTTCACTATGTAAGAAGCTATCTTTTACATTCGTGGATATCAAGAGTGTCTTTTTGATATTGTATGGAGAGTGGGTTTATGGAAAAAATTGCAAAAAACAAATATAAGTGGAAACATTTTCTCTGTTATACATAAAATGTATCAAAATGTTATGAATTATATAAAACAAAGTAAAATGCTATGACATTTTCTGTTTGAATGTTTTGGGTTAAACAAGAAGAAAATCTGTCACTTTTCTCTGTCTTTTTTCAACGTTTTAGACTACATTTTTTAGTTCAGAATGCAAACAGTCTTGAAAAAAATAATAATATATGCAATGAATCTTTGACTATGTATACGAAACCCTTTGTTATATCATATGCTGATGAAACTGTATTATTATTCGAGTGCGCAGAAAGACTATAAGAAACTCTCACAATATTCGAACAATATTGCAATATCTTGAAATTAAAAGTAAACGCAAAAGAGGTAGGAATTTACATCAAAAGACAGGACCTGCAACCCCCAATATTTAAAATGAATAACCAACCATTAGATTTATAGATTATTATCCTTACATTGGCTTTTTTATATTATATTGGCAATGTTTGTACCACAAGGAAAACAAGTGGAACAAGCACAAAAATCGCTAAATCAAGAGCAAAATCCAATTCTGTTTATGCCTTATTCTTCATATTCTTTAAGAAGGCCAAAGTATCGTTACACCTGATTCATCACTGCTTTCGTTATGTTGAATTTCAGATGCAAAAATGAAAAGGCTGTACCAAGAAGAATGTCTGTCAGTACTAAAATAATATTGTACAAACATAAAAAATTGGTTAGCTTTTCTAAAAATAAGTGTTGTCACACACATTGGACTATGTCACGGATGAGTCTTTCGTAGACAAAACGCGCGTCTGGCGCATATACAAAATTTCAATCCTGGTATC